TGAGGTTGTGTCCCAGCTCCTTCTTGCTGGGGCCCGGCCTGGGAATCCACTCTTGTTTCTTAGATAACTCTGCTCTAGAAGTGTTCAAAGTGCCGTGACAGCGGCCCTCCTTGCTGAGTTCCATGGGCCTGGAGGGCACGCGTCCCTGATACCCCTCCCCATTTTTGCCCAGTCTTGGGGAAGCTCCCATTTCGTCCATGAACAACCTCATCCACCTCGCCTACTCAAAGCATTTCCCTCCTTGCCTACCCCTTGTAGGACCTCTGCACAAAATCCCACCCAGGGGGCCTTTAGAAGCTCAGTGCTGGCCTTTTCTGGAGAACATCATATGTTATCTTACCAGCTCTTCTGTTACTCCTTTATTAAAACCAAAATCTGAGCCTATAACCTGGCCCAAAGCTCAGTTTGAATCAGTGATGAGTTTTGGCTTCCATGACAGTTAATATGATCTGAAGTGGAATTAATAGTGTCTAGAACAAGGAAGGCGTGGGTCCTGCCCACCCTGTGTTGTCGAGATCACACGTGGTGGGCCGGCCCATTCCTGGGCATCTTTCCTTCTCAGTTTCTAGTTTCTTTCTATTTTTAAAATGAACCCAGGACCTCGTGCATGCTAAGCATGCACTCCCCAACACCAGTTCCTTGTTTCTTACAGAGCAATTGTGGTGGTAGGTTAAGAGCATGCCATGGACATAATGCACTTGGATTTCAGCGAAGCATTTGACAACACGAGATGAATTGTGGAAAGCGTGAAAAAGCAGCTAGAGGAACTTCACTTCTACTCGCACATATGTGTGTGTTTTCACACCGGTAACAGCTGCGGCAGAGATTTTATGTCTCTCAGTGTGGGAACCACATTCTGAAGATGTTATTAACAAACTGGGTCTTGTCCAGAAAGCAGTAGGCAGACTAGGCACTTAAAACCATGTCAACATGGAAAGGAGACTTGAGAGGGCTGCCTTAGGGGAAAGGGATTGGGCTGTGTGTGTGTGTGTGTGTGTGTGTGTGTGTGTGTGTATGTGACCTCAACGGCAGAGCCAGGACCAACGAGTAGACATTATAGGGCCCCAAGTTTGAGCTCTAAGGGCAGGAAGAACTTTCTAGCTGTTAGAGGGATCTGCAAGTGAGATATTTGAAACGTCCCAGTGGGCAGTGAGTTCCCTGTGACTAGAAGCATTCAAGTGAAAGGATAATTCCTTGTCAGGAACATTGAAGTGAAGAGTCGGACATCAGAGAGGGGGTGTACGAGAAGACCTTAAGTGTCTTCCCTTCCTGTGATACGGTGGTTCTGTTATGGGATCGTATTTCAGACCTGCCCCCAGGGGTTGGGAGGACAGAGCACAAGGAACACATTGACAGTTCTCCGTGATGTCAGATGGTTGTCTGCCCATTTTAACAGGCACGGCTGTGATTGATACTACTTTTTTAAAGAAGATTATACACATACATACACGCGCACACACGTGCGTGCGCACACACACATGAGTTGATTTCCCCCTTGAAAGCCCTTGGCATGAGGCAGATGACAGCTCCTCTCCTCTGAGCCCCTGGACCACTCGGCTGCTAATGGACTGTCAGCCTCTTTCATGAGGGGCTCCAGACTGCAGGCTGGTATCATGTAGTGAATGGTGCCTCTGGCAAAAACCTGGCACTTGGGTCTCAGCCAACTGACATTTGTGATTTGCCCTTTTTCAAATCGGGACAGGCCTCCCACCGTGAGTGACTAGGCCAGGATGCCAAACAGTGGTATCAGCCAAGTCAGGTCCCCTGCCTGAAGGAGTAACAAAGCTCTTCAGGTGGGCGTGCAGGCAGATTCCTGGGATGGGGGAAAGGCTATAATTATAGGGCAAAGCCCCCTTCAGTGCCCCTGACCCCCCTCAAGATGTGGGAGCTCTGGGAGAGTCCTGGGCGTTTCGAGAGGGGCAGTGAAGGTTTTGCTCCCATGCTCTCAACCGGACTTTGGGGGTAAAAGGAGGTTGATCTGGGGCCCTTCTATGATGCTGATACATCCAGAGAGGCAGCCGTCTGCTTGCTGTGGCTCTTGGGCCCCCCAAGCCCACACTTCTGCACTCCTGCCATATCCTTGTCCCTCTCTCCCCCAGTCTCCCTTAGAATTGTCCCCACTAGGGTCACAGTGGGTTTAACAGGGAAGGCCACAACACAGTGTCACACATCTATTAGTTTGTCAACATGTCTGTTGTCAACCGCCCCCGGTAGGCGGTAGGACTAAAGAGCTTTATTTACTGTCCTAAGTCAGCACGTGCATGGGGCTTGGGATTCGGAGCAGGTTCTCAGTCACTGGTGTTGAAGGACTGAGTCGCCCCTGGGAGGCTGGTCGTAGGGCTGACCGACAGGTGTGAGAATTCGGACCGCTGCATCACATGTGCTGCCCCTGGGCAGGAAGGGGTTGGGAGAGGAGGGGAAACAGGGCGGTGACACTTAAGATCTTTTAAGATCTGGCTCATCCTCCTGCTACATGGAAGCCTCTAAATAAGTAAATGTTTGCTAAATGACTGAGTGAATGAAAGCTACCACTGTGTGCCAGGCATGGTGCTTAAAGCTTAAATACATCCTTTTAAGCCTTGTATCAACCTCATGAGTGGGGTATTAAGGTCTTTTTTTTCGTGAGAGAGGAAACTGAGGTGCAAGGAGATTATTACCTTTGCCCAGGGTCACCCCTAGTAAGTGATGGAGCCGTGATTCTGCCCTTGAACTATTTCAGTGCAAGTTCTGTTCCTCATCTCTGTCTTTGTGTGTCCTGCAGCGCCTCGTACGCTGGGGACTCAGTCAACTGGTCTGCCCTCAGGAGTGAGGGAGGGTGAGGGAGGGGAAACCAGGCTGGTGGTGGTGGGTGCCTGAGAAGTGGGCTTCAGAAGCATCAAGGGGCAACACAGCCTTCACAATTTCCCTGGCCCCAACAGTTCTCTTAGGCAGGGGCTCCTGGGGTTGCTCTCAAGAGTATGTGAGTGACTGGGTGGCTCAGGGCTGGGGGAAGTGGTTCCCGTCACAACGGGGTAGCCGCCTTCTTGCTAGAGGAGCTCTAACCTGGGAAGCAGAGAACTTGCGACCCAGCACAAGAGACAAGCAGCTGGAGGTAGTGGAGGTGCCATGGGCTGGGCACTGCCCTTGGCCTTGGCACTGGCCTGCTGCCCTCTGCTCTTCCAGGTGAGGCCCCCTCAAACCCTCTGCCCTCCAACACTCTCCAGAGGCCAGCTCTGAGGGGATAATAAGTAAGCCCACTTGCCTAACCTGCTCTGGCTGGGTGGACTAAAGTTTTGGGTCAGATCTACCCATCTTTGGATGATGCCCACTCGCGACGATGCAGGAAGGTCCGTTCTCAGGTTAAAGTGAAACTCCTATTCCCCCATCTGCCTATCTTCATTTTCTCTCTCTCCTGCAGTCCTCACTCAGCCTCACCCAGGGGACTCTGCTCCTGAGAATGTGGCTGGGGGAGACGGAAAGAGCCCCCACTACCTTCCGGGTGAGCAGCATGGGGAGCTCAGAGTGACATGTGTTTGGAACACAGAAGACTTACTCTTTGGATTCAGTGAAAGGAGGCAGACGCATGTCAACTATCAACTAAACCCTGACGATCACAAAGCATTGAGGGTAGAGATGGAGGATGCTGGACGGAGCTAATCAGGAAGGCTTCCAGAAGGAGGCGATGATGATTCATGATCAAGGCTTCCAGGAAGAGGTGGCCATGAGGGTAATGTTGTCCTGGGAGGCTGAGGTGCTGATGGACAGCTCTCCCCAGTTTGCCGAGTTGGAGAAAGTCCCTTGATTGCTGCTTGAGAATGTGGGCGAAGTTTCCCTTAATCAACCTCTTTGGCAGCACAGCCAGA